CTCGTTTTACACTTTCGCTTGCTGAATCGCTCCGTCTGTTCTCTTTCGGCATGTGAACTGGGTGGCTTTACTCATCGCGGACCTTTATCGCGACATTACCGACGCGTCTGGGTGCTGCGCTGAACGCCTTGTCCCCTGCTCCAGCACTGCTCGCCCGCGTCGTGTGCCGTCCGACTGCCCGGCGTTTGGGACTTCGGCCGTGGCTTCGGAAATGCGATCAGCTTCGTGTTCACACAAGCTACACTACGGCCTTACCCAATAACCCGTGGAACTTCAGCCCCCGATAAGGAATCCGTCAACGGTTGCGTGATGGTGGAGATATGTTAAAAAAAATTGGCGCCACGACCCGTAAATCCTTCTCCTCTCTTCACCTTGGAAACGTTGCAGTACGCAGTATGGATAGCGCCTGGAGTGATGGATGGCGCTGCGGCAATATTTAGCGGAGGTAGGTCACGTGCAGGTTGGTTGAAGTTGTATTCTGCGTATATAGGGAAGAGCATGATAATTTTACAATAGTTATTTTTAGGGTTAAGGGTGTAGGGTAGGGTTAGTGCCTTGACACAGGATTATTACTGTATATGACAAGCATTTTCACTTTCCAGGGATATATACTAGACAAGTGTGTAGTTTTGAACCGGCTATTATTATTATTCGCGTATTTTAATACACTGTATACCTAATACTACACACGCGACGCTACACGCTACGCACACGCACACGCACACGCATACAACAACGCCACGCACACGCACAACAACACACGGCACGCCACTCACACGCACGTACACACACGCACCGGTACACACACTGCGCACGCGACGGCAACACGCGACGCGCTACGGCGACGGTACTACCACACACACACCACACACACGACACACAACACACACACACAAAACAGACACAACACTACACGCGCACACACACAACACTCGCACGTACACACACGTACACGAACTGCACACGGCGCACACACACACACACAACACACACACAACCACCCACATCACACACCTGGCGCCGCGGCGCGCACTGAAGCTGACCCACCTCACTCCTTACCTGGCTATCTAGCCACATAGCAAGCTGACCCACCTCACTCCTTACCTGGCTATCTAGCCACATAGCAAGCTGACCCACCTCACTCCTTACCTGGTCAACCATCCACCTAGCAGGCTGGCCCACCTCACTCCGACCTTCTGTTCTATAAGACCTCCGGCGAACATGGAAGCTCCCTGACCGGCAACAGTAAGAGCGCTCACCCACGCTCCGTCCTGGTAGGTAAGCGACGTCGGTACACTACGCTGCCTCACGTACGATACGATGTACGGGGTCAAGTTACCTGAATGTACATACGGATAAACATAATTACCTGGGGCCGGTTTCACGACGCGTGATTAACTTTAATTACGCTTCGTGAAACAGTCACTTCAATTTAAGTACGAGAAGTTAATCATGATTAGTGATTTAATCATGATTAAATACTTAAGTACGCTTCGTGAAACCGGCCCCTGACCTTTACAGTGTTGTTGGATACCCACCTGTGTGATAATTACCACAGTTACCTTTGTAATCAAATCACTTGCTGTTCGGTTACGGGAGTAAATCCGAAAAGCTCGTTAAATTGACTACGTCACGAATTTTCTATGGTGTATATTTGTAAAATTTTTGTTGGCATTTTTTACATTAAAAGAGTAAGTACTAACTAAATGTATCGTCAAATTCTTACCTGATAAGATTGTTTCTCAACTAGTTAAAATTCCATAAAACCTGAACGATTTGATATTATGATCCTGACTTGCTTGCTGATTGCTTGCTATGGGCTCTGTATGAGTCACGAGTGTATGTTTACATCGAACAATATAGTAAAATAGGAAGTATAATGCAGCAATTTAACCATAAAAAGTGAACAGAATTACTTACATTTTGTGAAAAGTTTTACTATTTACGGTGACGTAATCACTTTAAATACGGTGTGACCTTTTACATGTACATACACATGGGTAAACATTGCGATGTGTTACGTGAGTAGTTTACTTGTACTGTCCTAGCTGTCTATCGCTGCTCATTGTGTGGGTGAGTGTGAGGGTGGGTGAATCCTTATTTGCACGTACCGTTACAGGAGTTCATGTAATAATGACATTTGGGGATTTGGAACAACGATCACTCTTTTTTGTGTGCATGTGCGTGCACGTGTGCGTGTGTGTGCGTGTGCGTGTATGTGTGTGTGTGCGCGCGCGTGAGTGTATGGGGGATAATGTATGAGTGTGTCGCTATGGTTCTATTATAGTTTCCTACAAGCACCCGCGCGTGAAACGTACGTTATACAGGAAAAAATGTGATCTTGTAGGACGCACCGGCAGGAGTACTAAACCAGTTATTTCTCGACGGTTCGCCTCGCATATATGCGCTCGATCGCGCAACTGATGGCAACTTAAAAATAAATAGGTAACGAGTAGTTCAACGTAGGAGGAAGGAAGGGGGTCTATTATCAGTGCCACAGGCCAAAAATATTCCTTTTCTCTAGTTCTTAGTTATATACAATCGCAATTTCTTGTTTTTTTACATCTTGAAAATGTACACATTTATCCGGTATTTCCTGGTTCTCGGATAATTTACATGGTTCCATGCTTCGTCGCGAAAATAACCGTTCTCCCTTCATATAGATCCTCGCTACCTTATACATACGAGCGCTCCGTAACTATTGACTCCTATATATACCACTGATGCTACCATTGTATTATCAGTGTGCCGTCTCTACGTGACCCAGATCCACTACACTATAACCATGTGGGTCGGTTCGAAGAGCGTATCACTCGATACAATCAAGAGCGTATAAAGAAGGTACGCTCTTTATACGCTTTATTATACGCTCTTGATACAATAGAACCATAAATCGCATCATTTAATGTGTGACATCGATTCGATAAAATCAATTACCGAAGGAGTAGAGCGTTCCGAGAGTGAGGTGGATGAGAAAGCCACCGCTTACTGCCAGCATGCCTTTCACGCACACCGCCATGCTGCTGCTGCTGATGATGATCGCGATCACAATGTTACCGTGCTCGACCGCTTGTTCTCACAGATATGTCACAGATGAGCAGACGATCGTTGCTATGATGTCATCGATGAACAGGAGATCGCGTTGATGACGTCACGCGAGAGCTGACATCTTCTAGAGTGACGTCACAGATAGGCACATTATCACTGTCTTGATGTCGCCACACATTAGCAGACGATCGTCGCCGCTGTGATAACGTCACAGATATACTCGGCAGCGCAGATCAAAGAGAGCAGCTGCGCGTGTTGCCACGTGTATGTCGAGCAGACTAGTGCCCTCCTTGCTGCACAACAAGACAAGAGTACGGTTCAATATATAATCGTTGAGTAAATACAAACTGGCCTGGTAAAGGGAGCATACAACAATTACATTCCGCAAATTGTTCACCAATGTTGCACGTACTATATTTCGTCTCTGCCGGGACAAAGCCTTCTTTTGAATTTGTTGCGGTAAAATTCGGCACTATAGTGCACTAATTTGCAGTATGCATGCAAGATAGATGTCTCGTGGACGTCTAGAAGCTATTAGAAGTAGGATTGGTCTTGTCGTATAATTGTGCCATTCCGTCAAATGGCGTAGCCATGGTGACCGGTCGGCCATTTTTGCGTTTGAAACGGGATCCGACTACTTTGTATAAAGTGTGCATCATTTAGCTGGCAAAAGTGTGGAGCGGAGTGTAACATGAATAAAGTGTATGTGGTGTATGAGACGAAACACTGTAATTACAGTGTAATTAAGAATGTTTAATTAATTTATGTTCGATGCTTAAGGCCTATTCAGGCCTGCTGCCTATGGTCCGCCTTTTACTGTTGTACACCACCTAAAGGGGCGACCCATGTAGAACGGGGAAGTGCTTGATAGAGCAGTGAGAACATGACTGGGTTGTTGGCATACAGAAATTCTACAAGTAAACATGATAAGTTCCTGCCTAGTTTGTGCAAATATCGACTTGCTATAGAGCCCATAGGGTTTGCTGCGATTCATTTAGAATATTTTTAATGTGAACCATAACGTATTTTAAGCCCATAAAATAATAAAATATGATGTTTGATTATTAGTATATTCCTGCAATCGAGAACACCAACAATAGCTCATAAAATAACTATACATGCACGTGAGGGTGAATCATGTAATAATGAGCAAATAACTACTCTGATACACACCAGAAAGCACTAACTAAACAAGCTTTAAGTAAGTTTCTGTGCCCATTTGCGAAAAGTATACAATTCGCGTAGGCCGTTTTATTATTAATAAAATGATGGTAAATAAATATAAAGTGTATTTGCTTCCGAATGCCTAATGTTTATGTATTCTCTACTGATTTATAATTCTACGTAAATGCCATTGAAATGCTTGTCTGCAGCACACAGTCTCATCACAGGCCCGTCACTACGCTGTCTCTTTGAGTTTTTATTTGATTTAATTAATTTTTTTATGTAATTATCCACACACGCACGCACACACACACACACACACACACTCACATACTGTTACAATGAATTTTATTATACTATTTAGGTATAACCTTAAGGCTATAATATTATACACAAACCTACGCGAGTAGTATGATAAGCAAGCCCCTTCCAAGGGGGGTGGGTATATATGTTCCCTTGATCCCTTAATGTTTATGCATTTTCTCCCTGTTCCCCATTAATAAAATAACTCGTTCCCTAAAATGTTTTTAACCTTGTGTTCCCACGATCCCGAAAATCATTTTCCAGTTTCCCTAATCCCCCAAAATATTTACCATGCACTGTTCCCCATATTTGTTTAGTACAGTAGAACTTCGCTTCGCTTCGCTAGTGAAAAGGGACTTATAAATGTGGACTCCAATGGGCCCTAAAGCACACTATGTTGAAATGACCCTAAAATACTTCAAAGTTTATTGTAAACAGTCTCAGAAAATTGTGAAAAAAAATCACAAAGATGGAAAATCCAGAGTTCCCTTGTTCCCAAAAATCTAATCAGGAGTTCCCCTGTTCCCTGAAAGTTAATGCTCCTGTTCCATTGTTCCCTAAAAGGCTAAAACCCCTGGGAGGGGCTCATAAGCACATAATTGTCCTTAATTTGCTACATTACAACACAACAGCAGCACAAACATACAAGCAGGAGTGTATAATGGCAATGACAAATTTGTCATTATAAACTCCTGATACAAGTTTGCGATTTGCACCAGTTATATGTTTTGCATAACTTACACACTTGTTCTACAATATTTACAAGTTGATCCACTGGTTAAATTCGAATGATGCCGCGTTTGGCTAAGAGGGTCTATGTCCCCCAGGGTACTGCCGGAACGTACCCTGGGTACGGTCCGTTATACCGGAACGTACCTTGGTACCAGAGCAATGAGACTCGAGAGCACATAAATCAACGTGATTTATATGCTCTGCTAGTACTATCTAATATGCCGGACCGTACCTCGCCTACTCCACTAACGAGTCTAGGGAGTCGCCTACGCCTATAAGCATGGTGCAATAATGTAACGTACGTGTGTAATATTTGCAGAGTGAATTCTTCATTGTAAGGAAAGTTGATTGAAATATTGTGTTTTTGTTTGTTGGTTATAGTTTCAACTGCATATAGAACTTAATGCTATTTTTCACACCTCTGTTGCCAACAGACCCTGACGCTCCAAGCCGCAAAAACCCAAAGTTTAGAGAGTGGCACCACTGGATGGTTGGCAACATTCCTGGATGTGACGTCCACCAGGGAGAAACACTGAGCGAGTACGTGGGCAGTGGCCCACCAGAAGGAACAGGTATGTCTACAGATGCCTCCACTAGAAGGAGACACCAAGCGAGTTTATGCACGGAAAGGAGCTAAATATAACAACGAGAGGAAGAGCCGCCATATCTGGCCCAAATTTTTGCCATATTTGGCCATATTGGCTTAGAACAGATTAGTGTTCTACTGTCTCTGGGTTCAGGTCTGCACAGCCGTTTCAGCTGATTATGGTCCATAGATGGCATCCTTGAGGCGAAAAGCACACAGCCATTCCACTTCCTCTCCTTGTTATATTTAGCTCCTTGATGCACGGTAGGTTTCAAGGGAACTAGTGCATACTTCCAGATCGATAAAGGGCAATGGGAGCTATCGTGGGTGACTTCTCAAGGTGATGGGTTTTCATCTCCAAGGTGAGGACAGTCTAATCTGTCACTGGTGTTTATATTGTCACCAAGGCTTGGTAATAATTAACAAGTAATTTAGTTTTAATCAGTATGTTCTGCATCCATTCTTGGACGCATTGTATACACCACTTACCTGGCATGCGAATACCTAAATTTCACCTAACCATGAGTGTATCACAACCTTGGCTAGCTGTGTAGGTGGCCATTGATACAGACAGTGCCATATGCTGCTATGTGAGTGTAGCTAGATGTGTGTGTCTCGCTGATTTTCCAGGCTTGCATCGCTACGTGTTCATGGTGTACGAGCAACCCGGCCAAGTCACGTTCAAGTGGAAGAAACTTTACAGGTAGGTATTGTTGATATATACACAAATACTTTGATGATTTTATTTGAACTAAAATGTCAGGTTCGAATTATCAATACTAATGTGGCACTCTGAATCGAAGCACTTGCAGTATGTAAGGTTTCAATAACTAGTGTTAATTTATGGTTTTGCACAGTAATGCATTAACCAACATCAGTGGTAAAATAATTTCAGTTATGTCTATATCTTATAAGTCTATATATATATATATACAGGGGTAGAAATTAACTTTTGAACTAGAGGTTGCACGTCTGCCAAATTTTCTTCGGATATTTGCTGAAAAAATACGGTAATTCCGTGAGGCCCTGCTCTGGAACGAACTACTTGTATAGCAGAATTTTCAGGGAGTCACACGGACTCCTGCATATATGTCAAATCAGGGAGTCCGACAGTAAATCAGAGAGTATTTGACTCCAGACTCACGTTAATTTCGCACCCTGCATATATATATTTCTGTGGCCGAAACACTGAAACGTTCTGAGTGTTCTCTAGACTGACCTGTAAGCAACAGCTCCACTTGCATGCACGCCATACACAGTGCTACATTACGTGCGCATTAGCTACACGCACCATTCAATCAGCACTCTTGATTGTTTTGCGGTACAACTTTGGTGGCAATACAAGCGCATCCCATATATTGACACGGATATTGACACAAAAAATTGACACAATTGAAAAAATTGACACAATTGAAAAAATTGACACAATTGAAAAAATTGACACAATAAATTGACACAATATATTGACACGGATTTCTGCGACAGCCGAGGATATTTATGTGATACTGAGAAGGAGTTCATAAAATAAAAGAAAGAATTCAATTTAAAAAGAATTACATGTGCTTTAGCTTGCCTTATGGCTTAACTTAGATTAGCATAGTTTAGTTTGCCTTATTCACTGTTTAACATCTTTATCGTTTGTATCGCGATACGGACGCTGCGTATCGCTCGCTTATCGTATCGTGGATCGCTGTATCGCGCGATTCACCAATGTATCGGTGAATCGTTGCACTCCCCTACTGATGGTACTATATGGTTATTGATAGCTGATTGCATAGTTTTCTGTCTTTCAGGTCGGCCGAGGGCAGAGCCTCATTCAAGACAAAGGAGTTTGCTGCTAGCCACAACTTGGATGGCCCTGTTGCCTGCAACATGTACCAGGCTCAGTATGATGAATATGTGCCTAAACTCTATGAGCAACTGAGTGGAAAGTAAGTTACTGCATAATGGCTCCATCTATCGGGCGTAAAGACGGCTGCTGTTCAATTGGAAAAGCTGGTGAGAAGTATTTGTATGGTGAAATATAATGTCGAGAGAAATTAAAGTAGCACGGTTTTCTAGTATTAGTAGTAGAGTGTTAATTATGAGTATCCTTAAGCATATAGTTTACTAGTTTCTGCTTGTAGCGTAATGGTAAACAGTGGATGTTTTTTAACATTGGATGTACATAGGGCACTGGAAGGAGTACGACGGTAGAATGGAAACGGTGTGGGTTTATTATTATATAAATGCTACCTGTGAAATATCGAGAGCTTGTAATTTGTCCAAGTGTTTAGATTTACTGAATCAGAAAATTTAAAGATTTAATCAAATTAAAAATTCTTATCTATTTTCTTTAAACCATTGATAATCTGGCTTTAAGGACTGACAAGTTTGAGCATATGCTAGTTTTGATTATGACTGGTTGCAAACAATAAACAGAAGAGCAATTAATTGAATAGCTTCAGATAGTTTTATTCAATATACACCTTTGTAACATTGAAGCTCGTATACACGTAACAGCATGTGCAGAAAAAGCAATTTGAATACATTTCAATATATTTAGCACATTTAAATACGGCCTAATAGTTTACTGTGTAACCGGAGTAATCAATTATTACCAGAGTAATCAATTATTACAACTCGTACTGCTGTTACTTTGAACAACATCTAACAATTATTTACAAAGATCATTCGATATATGTTCTGCCTTATCATAAATTACACGGCATTATATAATAGAAATCGATATAGTGTCAAATGCAGCTATAAGTCTGACTCATGATATGTTTGTTTCCTATTCATGTGGGAGTAAAATTGCTTTCTGCTATTAAAAAACGCTCATATATGTGCGTTCTATAGTAATTAGCTAAACAAGTTGCACGTGCCAGACAAGCTTATTTCGGTTATTATCAATGCATCTGACCGTTACTACATGGGACTGTGCCACGAGTAACAGCACAATCTGTACGCGATCTCTGCTAATATATGCTCACAGACCCAGTAATGGCTGCAGACATGAGCATACACAGCGTCCAGACGCGTTTCGATTCCCCGCGATACCATTAAAATCTACCATTGGCCACAAATCTGTTTGACTAGAACGAAGAAGGAAGACAGGGATACAGAGAGGAGGAGGGCAGGGGGCAGTGAGTGATGGTGGGAGAAAGACAGAACTAAGAATCTGCTAGGTGTAGATTTCTTTATTGGCCACCTCTACAAACACTCTGCCAATGGCAATATATAGGTTGCTTATGCCAGGCCTTAGGTCAAGTAGCGATATTCTCTCACTCACAGCACTGCTTACACATAACACGCACTGCATACACACTTGCATGGCATAAGCATGTCAGATAGCACTGAGCTGAGCTAGGAGATAAGATCGCCGAAGACTGTGCCAACGTATTGTAGGAGGATGATGATCCAGGTAAACAATCAAGGTCGTAGTCGTCCAACGCCACCAGTCACCCCATAGGTCAGCCCATCACGTGTTGTGGTCTACTACTACTGTTATTACTAGCTGCTGTTGCTGTTGCCGTTACAACTGTTACTACTACTACTGCTGATGCTGCGGTTGCAACTGTTACTACTAGCTGCTGCTGCAGTTGCAACTGTTACTACTAGCTGCTGCTGCTGCTGTGGTTGCAACTGTTACTACTAACTACTGCTGCTGCTGTTGCAACTGTTACTACTAGCTGCTGCTGCTGCTGCTGCCGTTACAACTGTTACTACTACTGCTGCTGCTGAGATCTGGGAAGTAGTGCGATAGTCTCCCTAGTGAGATAGTCTCCCTATTTACCATATCTCCCTATTTCCCGGCCAAGCTGCGGTAAATAGTGCGACACAGGAAATACTGCTAAGTCGTTATGGTGCTTACATCGCATTATTTCCCAGCACTACTGGTACTGTAACTATGCCCCCTGCATGCGATCAGATGAATGAACACAAACAACAGACAAATTTGTCTAGCTCACTATTTCCCAGATTGCGCTATTTATCGTGACATCGGCTTTGATCAGCATCGACTCTCTGTCACGGTCTGGTACCACTGCCAGGTACAGTCTCTGGCTTTGGACTATAAACAATATTTGTGTAAGGTGTAAACAAGCAGGGAGTTAAAGGTAGAGTAAAATGGGTAAAAATGTGCTAACCTTGTATTTTCACGTATTGGTTAAAGTTTTTATTTCGAATAATATTCAAATTAAAAACTTTAATCAATGCGTGAAAATATACACACGGACTTTCTTGCGGTGAGCGCAAGACATCGACCCGGGTGTAGTAGAAAATAGTCGCACCGCGGCAGTTTTGGTCCGAGTGTAAACACAGAGGTACAGACTAGCGTATGGGGAGTGTAATACTGATGCCCGCTAAAGAAACTGATCGCCAAGACTCATTCGAAACCCTTTCCGACTCACATAGCTCTGCTTTGACCAAAATACTCTTCTTCTTTGAAATTATTGCTTTCATGGTTGTTTGATTTACATGCACACAAATACATGCCCCTTTGTTTTAATTGTGTGCACTTGTTTTGAAGGCGCCATTTGTGATTTAGTGAGTTGGCATACGATAAAATTTATTGCTGTTACGATGTGGTCAAATCCATTTTAACTGCATAAAATCTTAGTGTTTTTAATGTTCGTGTAATCAGTGACATTTCCGCTGTCAGGTGAGACATTGTGTTATATTCATCTATATTGAGTTTTTCTGAGCAAAAATCACGTAATAATCAGTTTAACCTTACACCTAGAGACAGAAGTGTGATTTCAGCCATCGTTTCTAGCCAACGTAAATCAAACCCACTAAAGTCACATCCGGCAGCATAGTGGTAGGAAAATCTGTAAGTCTCTTATATTTTTGCCCAGTCAGCTTTTTCGGTCAAGAAAATCAGGCGTTATACCAGTCTAATATAAGTATACTGTATGCTCGCTCATGCAGCAAATGTTGATGCTAAGTTATGAACGGTTACAGATAGAATACGAATCATGCAAGGTAAATATGGGAGATGAATTGACACCAACTCAGGTACAGAAGCAACCTAAGAAGATGACCTGGCCATGCGATAAGGGAAAGTTCTACACGCTTATAATGACAGGTTTGTAGATCATAAATATATCATATCAAGAGCGTGTTAAGAAGGAGAGCGTACAACGGTGAAATGCTGAAACCATGTTGCAGTATTAGGCGAATTAAGAAACTTTGACCGTTTTATTATGACGTTTCTTTGCGGTATTATTGATCAGCTGTCCCACCTTGCTAATATAAAACAAACCGCTTGTCCCTTCGATGCCCCTACGCTGAGATAATGAGCGGTGAAAATCTGGTATTTTTGCCGAAAACCGACTCGAGATCCCGGTTGGCTGTGACCCTCTCTCGCTTTGAGATAGCTTCGGGGAACCTCATATAACAATTAGAACTAGGTATCTGGTAACATACACGTGTGCGGTATAGATGATTTCGTTTATACACCTAAGTACAGTTGTACTGCAGTAAAATCCTAGAGGCTACATGTCCGTTTAAATATCTAAATCGCAACATGACATGTATTGTAGCCGACAGTAGAAGTGCATCAGTCTGTAGTCCAGAGGACACCTTCAATGAATGCACTGTCTAACCATAGGTTCTGTCTGATTGCAGAGCGGTTACTGCGTGTAACTTATAGACATGGACAAATTGACAGTGTCTTTGTGGTTGACACTGTGCCCACAGGATAGTTATCCCGCTAGATGAAGAATTCTACTCTCGTATTGTCTGTTACCATTATGTGAGAGGACAGATTCGCATTGGCGAAGACTTACTCCTAACAGCCACTACATTATTAGAAACAACAACTTACTTTACTAATCATAAAACATGTCTTATCATGATTTTTAAACTTTTAATGTTTAATAAAGGCCATTTAAACCATTTCTTTTTAAATTTGCATTACATACTGTAAGAACAGACATATGATAACATTAACAGCACACCTCACAGAGTTAATAGTGCCTAAACATGTGCATAAAACATGATAATATGAATGCTATGTATAATTGTATATACAAAGTAAGATTAATATAAATCTATGCTATTATTAACCGATTATCGATTATACATCAATTATCGGATCGTGATTAAGGGAAACCGATAAATCGTATGAAAATTCAGCCGATCCCATCACTAATGCTTAAGACCATTTTCATTTTCGTCTTTGTTTTCAGGTTAGGCAAAAGATGAAAATATGTGATTAATTTGACAGCTACCATTCGCATTCTAGAATCAATGCAACTATTATTCCTTCCACTCGCAAACAATATACAATGTGGATAATTCAAATGCAGTAACAAGTACATTTTAGAGGATTATACATTAACATTATACATAAACATATCTGTACATATATTATATACATGTATGTATAAAATCATCAACAAGTGTGGTAACTGAGTGTTTCCATTATAAATGGCAAGAGTAATTGCATTGTTACTACAATCCATACCTGGAGAGATAAACACGACAATAACATCAGCAAAAGCAATAATATAATAATAATAATACAAGCACAATAACAACACAACACATACATTTATGTACATACAACATCAATGTATACATGCGAGTAGATGTGCTTAAATGCGTGCGTGAAATCGATTACATATCATATGCCTATTTCTATACATATTTTTATCTATATGACATATCTATATATGACAGAGCATATTAAGAAGGAGAGCATACAACGGTGAAATGCTGAAACCATGGTGCGGTATTAGTCGAATTAATAAACTTTGCCCGTTTTATTTGACGATTCTGTGGCAGTCAGTATTGAATCAGCTGTCCTACTTACTAACATAAAACAAACCGCTTGTCCCCTACGATGCTCTTACGCTGAGATTAATGAGTGGTGAGATCTGGTATTTTGCCAAAAACCGACTCGAGATCCCTGTTGGCTGTGACCCTCTCCTCGTTTTGTGGCCAGTATGTTGCTTCCGGTCGGCCGGTGTGTAGCGCCATGGTAGCGCTGACTCATGTCATTACTTTCGAGTTTACTATACATCCAGCGTGAGGTGGGCACAGGTGGGGGTCATCCACTAAGGCAATCACTAACAGGGCGTCATTCATTCCATTTGTCAATCATTGATGGAAACACGG